TGGTGTTATTGACTTGTGCTCGATTTCCTTAGGCTTTGTAACTTTTAATAAGTCAATGTGTCCTATCCTGAGTACTTAAGTATCTTAGAGAAGATTTGTTTTGAGAATATGTCTCAATGATAAAACAGAGACACCTTAGAATAAAATCTTTCTTTCCAAGTAAATGAACTCAATGTGTCTCTTCCAAAATGCCCCTGAAACTTTTGCCTACTCTTACTGCTGGGTAGTCTTCAACAGTATCAAATACAAGACTAAGAGAAGGGGCAATTTTAGATGAACAATAAGGGATATTTTAAAACTGAGATTTTTCAAAACCCCTCAAATCAGTACAGTAAACATTTAAAATATACAGGAGAACAGGAGTTTTATTTATTCTAAGGTTTATACTACCTGTCAGGAAACAGATTGATAACATGCTCTTGATTAAGTCATTTTCAGAATTATTCTGTTTTTAATCTGTGTAATCTGATGAGTTTTTTTGTTCTGCTGACTCTTAGAGGTTCTTAGACATTCAAGAGAAATCTTGAAAGAAAGAGAAGAACAGGCAGTAATCCCCCCACAGCCAGCCTTACCAAGCCAGGCTGGGTCATCAGCCCTTCTAGTGGGCCATTCAAATCACAGGTTAGTTGAAAACCTAACAGGGACCCATTAGGACACTCTACTCATTTTCTGGTCACTTCCAGTAGCCCAGTGCCATTGAGCTAAAATATATAATCTGGTGACATTAACAAGGAAACCCTAAAAATCATGTTTGTTGTTACTAGCCAATTTCATTATCCTCCCATCCTCCTTCCTTTTCTCCTCTATTCTACTTTAATTTTGGTATTCTTTTTATTTTTTTTACTTACCCCAGAGTACATCAAGAATATTCTAAAAGTAGAAATAGCAGTGTGAATAATTTCAATGGCTTCTCTCATGGGTGCCCCCAAATATGTATTGTGCCATTCCACATATTTAAAAACTAATGAGGGAGTACATTTTTTTATTTCATACGGGAGAATACCTTGAATTTTTATTTTTCTCTTTGAGAGATTGTATTTAACTATCTTTTATAAAACATAAGCCAAATGAAATCCCACATATTATCTCTGATATTTTTTCTTAAAGTGTAAAGTGATATATTTGTTACAAACCTTAAAAAGATTAAGAATCTATTGATGTTATTTCTCCTGTCCCCAGTGTTTTGTTTTTCTTAAATATTCTAGTCCCAGGATTTAGGTTTTTTGGTTGGTATGTCACAAGTTTGAAAATAAAATCTTTATCCAGAGATGTAAGTTGTTTAACACACTCAAATTAATAAACATAATTCATCACCTAAATAGAATTAATGACAAAAATCACTAAGTCATGTCAATAGATGCAGAGAAAGCATTTGACAAAATTCAGTACCCATTCATGATAAAAACACTGAAGAAAGTAGGAACAGTATGAATTTACCTCAACATCATAAAGGCTATATATGAAAAAATCTAGGCCAACCTCATAGTAAGTGGAGAAAAACTGAAACCCTTTCTTTTAAATCTGGAATAAGATTTTAAAATCACCACTTTTATTGAATATAGTGCTTGAAATTCTAGAAAAGCAATTAGACAAGAGGAGGAAATGAAAGGACTAAAAATAAGAAAGGAAGAAGTCAAATTGTCACTGTTTGAAGATGAGATACTCCTATACTTAGAAGATCCCCAAAACCCCAGCAAAAGACTACTCCAACTACTAAACAAATTCAACAAAGTATCAGGCTACAAAATCAACACACAAAAATTAATAGATTTCCTACACACAAATTGAATCTGCTGAGAAAGAAATCAGGAAAACAGTACCATTTACAATTGCCTAAAAACAAAAAACAACCTAGGAATACATCTAGCCAAGGAGGTAAATAACCTCCACAAGAAAACAATAGAAAAGTGAAGAAAAAAGTTGAACGAGGCATAAGAAAATGGAAAGACCTCCCATGCTCATGGATAAGCAGAATTAATATTGCTAAAATGGTTTAATTGGCTTAATATTGCTAAAATAGCTGGGCATGGTGGCACATCCCAGTGTCTCGAGTGATTGAGACAGAGGATCATGAGTTCAAAGCCAGTCAGTCTCAGCAACAGCGAGGAACTAAGCAACTCAGTGAGACCCTGACTTTAAAATAAAATACAAAGTAGGGCTGGGGATATGGCTCAGCTGTTGAGTGCCTGGTACAAGAACAAAGAAAAATGGCAGAATTAATGAAGGCAATATGCAGATTCAATGCAATCCCCATCAAAACAATAATGACATTCTTCACACAACTAGAAAAAAATAGTCCTAAAATTTACTTGGAAAAATAAAAGACCCAGAATAGCCAAAACAATTTTAAGTCAAAATAAGAAATGCTAGATGCATTGCAACACCTAATTTCAAATTATACTACAGAGGGATAGTAACAAAAACTGTTTGATACTGGCACAAAAACAGACACATAGACCAATGGATAGAATACACAAATATAAACCCACACATCTACAGTCATCTGATCCTTGACAAAGGTCCCAAAAACATACATTGGTGAAAAGACAGCCCCCTTAACAAATGGTGCTGAGAAAACTGGGTATCCATATATAGAAAATGAGAATAGACCCTTATCCCTCATCCTGCACAAAAATCAACTCAAAATGGATCAAAGACCTAGGAATTAGGCCAGAAACTATTCAGCTCCTAAAAGAAAACATAGGGTCATCACTCCAGCATAGAGACAGGCAAATACTTGCTCAATAGGACCCCTAAAGCTCAGGAAATAATACCAAAAGTTAATAAACGAGATGGCATCAAATTAACAAACTTCTGTGAAACAAAGGAAACAATTAAGAACATTAAGAGGGGCTGAGGTTGTGGCTCAGCGAGAGAGTGCTCACCTAGCACGTGCAAGGACCTGAGTTTGATCTTCAGCACCACATAAAAATAAATAAATAAATAAATAAATAATTCTGTCCATCTACAACTAAAAAATAATTTTTTTAAAAAAGAACATGAAGAAAGAACTTACAGAATGAGAGAAAATCTTTGCCAGCTACACTTCTGACAGGATTAATATCTAGAATATATAGCAAATTCAAAAGAATTAACAATAAAGACAAGTAGCCCAATTAAAAAATGATCAAATGAATTAAACAGACATTTCACAAAATAATAAATACAAATAGCCAACAAGTATATGGAAATACTTTCAACATCATTAGCAATTAGGTAAATGCAAATCAAAACTACATTGAGATTGCACCTCATACCAGTCAGAATGGCAGTTATCAAGAATACAAGAAATAATACTGTCATGTATATCTAAAAAGAACAAAAATTTTAAAAAAGGAAAAAAGAATACAAGCAATTATAAATGCTAGAGAAGATGTGAAGAAAAAGAAATACTTTACACTGTTGGTAGAATTGCAAATTAACACAACCACTCTGAAAATCAGTATGGAGATTCCTCCAAAGAATAAACATGGGACCACCGTACAAACCATCTACAGTGCTCTTTGGTATTTATCCTGAGCAATTAAAGTTGTCATACTGTAGTAATACATGTATACCCATTATTTTGATGACAGCACAATTCACAATAGCCAAATTATAAAACCAGCCTAGGTGTCCAACAACAGACAAATGGATAAAGAAAATATATATATACACAATGGAGTTTTACTCAGTCATCAAGAGGTCAAAAGTAGGTCATTTGCAGGAAAATGGATGGAACTTGAGACCATCATGTTAAGCGAAATAATCCAAAGTCAAAAGGTCAAGTTCATATTTTTTTTTCTCATAAACATGGAAATTAGAGAGGACAAAGGAAAAGAAAGGTGGGAAGTGATAGCATGAAAAGCAAAGGGAGATATTAGACAATTATATTATTGTAGTATGTGCAGGTACTAATACGAGACAACAAATCCCACCATTATGTACAACTATGATGCACTGAGAAAAAAGATAAGAAAGCCTGACAAAATACCAGAGACAAAGGAGTTCTTCACTTAAATTCATTTTTTAAAAAATGTCTTACTAACAGATACATTTAAATGTAGGATCAATGGGTAATCTCTGCCTCTTCCTTTCCCTCCAATTTCATTCAACATTTAAACTCTTTCTAAGCTTGCCATCAGCATTATTCTCCTAGGCTTGACAGTGTTGACTTTGTTGGGAATTTTACTTTTCCTTTACTGCATTTTAAAGTCAAATTATAGGATATATTCAGATGTATACCAGAGTATGTATTTTGTAAAATGTTCTGGATTAAAGATTTGTTTGTAAATTATCCACTGTTTTTCAGTATAGCTGACAGATGTGGCAAAATTTTCATTTCCTTACCATGAAACATGGGGAAAGCTGATATTGTAGATCTTTTAGTGAATTTTAAAAGTTTGAAATAAAGCAACCAAGTTTAAATAAAATTATATAGATATGTAAATATCTTACAATAGTAACAAAAACACACCAAAGTAAAAAATTGGCTGAATAATTTGGCATCATGCTATATAACTTTGAAGACAACAGGGATATGTGTCATATCTATTTATTGAAAAATATATATATAAAAGAATAATTTTGCATGGAAAATATCAATAGAAATAGTGAAAACAGACAAAAGAATAGAGTAAAAAAATAAACACAGCTGATTTAAAGTGTACAAAATAGTCATTGTCTTTTCTTTAAAGTGGTTCAAATTCATAGTGAAATTGAATTTCCTGTTTTGGAAATAGTGCTGTTTTCCCAATTCTTCCTGAGCCAAAACTTTAAACAACATCATGACTTTATTTTCTTGTAGATTAATTCTCAGAACATCATAATATCTCTCTTCAAACATTAAAAAAAAAAAAAAAACCATTCAAGGGTGGTGAACCAATAAGTAGTTCCTGCTCTGCACACAGCTCCAAAAGTATACTAGCCCCCAACCACTAGAGGAAGAAGGAAGTTCTAAGATGTTAAATACTGAGGCCAGCTTCCCTAGGTAAGCTTAGTGGTCTGACTTCCCCATCAACATGAAGGCTTTTCTGATTCTGGGGCTTCTTCTCCTTTCTGTCATAGTCCAGGGCAAGGTTTATGAAAGGTGCGAGTTGGCCAGAACTCTAAAAAGACTTGGAATGGATGGCTACCGCGGAATCAGCTTGGCAAACTGTAAGTTGGGTCTTCCTCATTGTTTTTACAATGATTGAAAACATCATTTTGGTCCTCTAGAATTAGATACCTGCTGAAGGGATGTGGGTATTATTCATTTTAAGTTGATTAATCTTCATTTTCTTGCACAACATTCAAAACATGCCACGACGAAAAGTTACTGTATAGCATACTCCATATTCTCCAATCTCTGTACTTTTCAGATTGACCCCAAACATTTCCCCTTCCATAGCTATTTGTAAATGAATGAGCAAGTAAGTACATGAACAAAATCATAGAATAGCCTTTCCTATTCCATAATTCTTGGTTTCAAGATTCAAACTTAACATCCAAATTCACCTTTAGATATTACAAGAAAATCACTCTCAGAAAAACCCTTAAATGTTTCTAATAAAGCATTTTCCCATCAGCTGTGTATCTGCTATGAATTTGTACAACCTTCTCAACAGCTCCATTTTCTGTTCTAGGCTCAGTATTGTCTGAGAGATGAGAACAAGGGGAAGGCAAAAGCAATGGAAAAATAGCAATTTAAAGATTTTTAAAAGTACTTTATCTTGCTTCACATTCTTATAAACTGATTTGAGCTACAAAAGGATACTCCTAGGGACCCTCTATAACAAAGGTGTTGAGGCAGGCAGCCCTGGTGGCTCAGACCTATAGTCCCAGCTACATGGGAGGCTGAGGTGGAAGGATCACATGAGACAGGAGACCACCCTGGGAACCCAGTGAGACCCTGTCTCAAACTAACCTGTTACTGATATTTTATCAATTAAACACATCTTGTACTTACAAAGTAAGTCTCTAGTAAAATACAATTAGTTGCATAGAATTGATTTTGATACACAGTATATGAATCAGTTGGTGTTGCTATTTATTACAAAAAACAATTTCTTTTCAGGGGTGTGTCTGGCCGAATGGGAGAGTAGTTACAACACCAGAGCTACAAACTACAACCCTGGAGACCAAAGTACTGACTATGGGATATTCCAGATCAATAGCCACTACTGGTGTAATGATGGCAAAACCCCAAGAGCAGTTAATGCCTGTGGTATATCCTGCAATGGTAAGACWAGATAATATTTGAGTGATGGCACAAGAACTACCTGCATATATTTACAAGAACAGATGTTCAAACGAATCAAATAGCCTTGTAAGGGTTTGTCAGGGAGCTAGAAAAAATCCATCTCAACTTCTAGAAAGTGATTGTTATTCTCAAAATTCCCTGTATAGAAACCTAGGGCTGGGGATTTAGCTCAGTGGTAGAGTGCCTGCTCATTTATTGTTAACGGCCTTATTAAAGCTTTTCCAAAACTTTGCCATTCCGTGTATTCACTGAGAATGGCTTAGGGATCTTTTGATTGTGTGGTCCTTTTGATTGTTTTATGAGTATATATGAAAGGTCCTACGTATGTAGAAAGTTAGATTTTCATATAATGAATGACTACATTGACTTAGCATATTGTACACTTTCAACAATAATTAACATCTTTCCATAGATTCTTCTTGTATGTATGTGTACATTTTGCTGAGAGATTTTAAAATGAATTAGAAATGTTGACATTTTATTTCTAAATCCTCCAGCTTGAATCTCCAATATATACAATTCCTAAATAATCATTAACACACCTAAAACATTACCTTATGTATTTATGTACTTGGGATGAAACATTGTGTTTTAATAAGAAAAAGAACTCACAAGGTGCATTACATATATAAGGTATGGGAGTACTAGACTCCTGAGCTCATGAAAATAGAAATAGCATGTACAAATTTTAGTGTATAAAATAGTCCATACATATTGGGCTTGATATTTTTAAAAAATTTTAAATGTTAAAATTCCCAAGGGAAGATCAATTTTAGAATTTTATTTTTAATCTAGCTAATTTACCTAAAATTATTTGTATTACATAATAATCTATGATCATTGAATAACATGTAGCAAATAAAAGCAAGATGAAATAGCATCCGTAGTCTTACTACCCAGAGATGTATAAGCATGGATAACTACATACTCTTTCAGAATCAACATGTATATAAATGTAAAGTTATATCAAACACATATGTAGCCAGATACAAATATGTTTTTACAAAAATTAAATTTTATTACATATCCTGCTCTACAATTTGCACTTATCACATACAAATCTGTTATTATTATTTGAAAGGGTGAAGAGAATTCCACTATTAGGTTGTTTCCACTTTTCCCTGTCATGAATTGTTACAAATGGCTTTATGGATACATGTGTAGAGTTTTGATACATTCTCTCTCTCTCTCTCTCTCTCTCTCTCTCTCTCTCTCTCTCTCTCTTTATAAAATTCTTTTTCATTTTTGTGATTTTTTTTTTGCCACTGAGCCATATCCCCAGATCTCTTATTATTTCTTTGAGATAAATCATCAATGGTAGAATTCCTGAGTAAAAAATTTCTGGGCATGTCTTTTTTCACAGTGTGCATAGGGGCCTTTCTTCCATATTACTTAATCATTCCAGGGGTTAGGGTTGTGGCTAGCAGCAGAGCACTGACCTAGCACGTAAGAGGCCCTGGGTTCGATCCTCAGCGCCACATAAAAATAAATAAAATGAAGGTATTGTGTCCAACTACAACTAAAAAATGAATATTTTAAAAAATAATAATTCCAACAACTTAAGTAACTGAGAAACAATGTGTTATTTCATGTCAACAAGGAAAAGAATTAAAAGGAAGTTATCCACAACAATCAGAGATATATAAATTCTTGGAAAAGAACTTCTTGGTTATGCTTTCCTCTGCCTAACATAATAAAACTGGCTAAGTGTAACCTTCCAAGGAAATTGTTAGAACATCCTTTTCATGCCTCACCACCTCTCTTCCAGCTCTGTTGCAAGATGACATCTCTCAAGCTGTAACTTGTGCAAAAAGGGTTGTCCGTGACCCACAAGGCATTAGAGCATGGTATGTTTTAAGGTTTGAAAGGGGAAACTGTTTTACTATACTGTTGATATATGCAGTGAGAGAAAAAATTCAAAGACCTAAGTGTCCTTCTGAATATAAAGTTGTCCTGTGGGGCCTAAGGGACACAATGTAATACCTCCTTCAGAAGAGACAATCTGCTTGAACTGATTCACAGTCTTGTCCATTTACTCCTCTATAGATTTTAGGGATTTCTAGAGTTTTAAATATTCTCCACACTCTACTAGTTCTTTGTCATATCTTTTTTTGGGGGGAAAGTGGGAGGTTTGTATAAAAGATAGAACCAGGAAAGTTAACCACTGATCCACAGCCCCAGTCCTTTTTAATTTTTTATTTGGAGACAGGACCTCACTAAATTGCTAAGGCTGTCTTTGAACTTGCAATCTTCCTGCCTCAGCCTCAGTCATGCACCCCATGTTGGCCTCCTTGTCATATTTGAAACAATTTGTGGAATAAGTAAATGGGCCATGTACATAACTCAACATTTGTGTTCAGCATTCTGTGCCCTATGGAGGCCTCTGAGGAGGAGCAAAGCACCTTGTATACTCATCTCCACTTAATCAGTAGCAGTACCTGGGTCTAATTGTAGCCTGTATGATATTTTTGGATAGGAACTTTTGCTCCCACAAAGAGATTTAAGTATGTACACTGCAATGCAGATATGTTTTAACCTTTGCTTGTTTTCCCTTTTCTCTGCAGGGTGGCATGGAGAAACCATTGTCAAAACCGTGACCTCACTCAGTATATTCAGGGCTGTGGAGTGTAACTGCAAAATTTTCCTTCTTCTTCAGCTCATTTTGTCTCTTTGCACCATTAAGGGACACACTGCCACTAGTGTAGTGTGTCACACTACCATTGTTTCCCCTTCAAACAAGTAGCATTTTTACAGAAGCAGGAACAAAATATAGCCTTTCTCCTAAGAGCCATACCTTTCATAATTTGTGTTTTACTTAATAGTAACCCCCCATTTTCAGCTTACTAATAAAGCTAATGCTGGTGAAAACTTACCTACAACCTTGATTATCAAATAATCTACAGTACATTTAGTTTTTTATTATAGATATAATCAAGAMTTAATCTTAAATGATACAAATATTTCCCAATATTAGACAACAATACAAAAAAGGCTATCTAAAAACCAATGGAATTTAGGCAACATCCAAACTGTGTAGCATCCAATGCCTTCCATCTATACAGTCATCTCCAAAAATAGGAAAATTAACCACTCTCTCGGGCAATATAAAATTCTTAAAGGAGTGGAAAGCCAATGCCTAAAAGTGAAGACTAATCGAAGGAAAAATGTGTCTGCACAAAGTGTGTGACATTTGGTTTAAGAATTTTCCATTTATGCAGCTTTACAAACAGACTCACAATTTACATATCACTTTGTTTTAAGCTTTGAAAGAACACTTACCTGCATCTGACTGATCATGAAGCCATTAAGGAGGGATTAAATGGGCTGTTGCTATTCCCCAATTTTATTAACTTAGATTCATGCATTTCATCTAAATCTGAGACAGATAAGCTTGCATTACTAATTAACCACAGGAGTGAAATTATGCATACTGTAAAAATACAAATGTTATCATTAAATGGTTGCATTGCATATTTTGTCTGTCCTTGTTTAGACCCATTTGGTGTCTGGAGAAAAAATATCACATATATTAGAAAAAGAAAAGAAAGAACCTGGTACTCTTAATGTCTTCTCTATCCTCACCTGCACTGAAAGCTGGCAATGGCTGGAGGAAAATCCACAAGCAAGCTAATAAACCTTACTCTGAATCCATAACCATGAGTCTCATATGGCCTCAAGTCAGCATGGTCACCTCAGTCACTTCTCTGGAGTCTTCCTGTGTTGTCCCCCTCTCCAAAACAACTATGATTATTTCACTTCTCCCTTTCTTTGTTGAGAGCCCAACACACACATCTGACACCCTCCTGCCCCCTAACCTTCCACCATCCTCTGCTCTTAGCAGATAATCTTTGCTTATATATACCATTAAAAAAAGAGTCATTTCAAAGAAGCACTACAAAGTTCTCCCCCTGCCACAAAGCAGCAGTCACACCTTCCCCTCACTGATCCCTCCTTCCCTCCCACTGTTTCTGGGATGAAGGGCCTTTGCTCCTGGCAAAGGCAGGATCTCCATGTGCAGCCTCTGTCCCATGCCTCACAACTCCCAGCTAGGCTGAGTTTCTCCCTCTCTGCTCCATCACCTCCATCATTGTGCAAAGGGCCCCCCAGCATTCTTCCATCCTACAAAAAACATTCCACTGACCCTACACCACCCTCCAAGTACCACCTCAGCCTCTGCTCTCTATGGCGAGACTTCTAGGGGAGAAGCGCATCCCCACCTCCCATCTCTCTTCAGCTCTTTCCAATCTAGCTTCTGTCTCACTCAGCCATGTCTGCTGCCCTAGGACTTCTCCCATGACCTGGATGCAATTCCAGTGATCATCTGCTCTCTGCTTGATCTCTCATCAGCATTTAGCTGAGTGAACCACTTCATATCACTATAAGCTTTTTCTCTCTCACCTTCTTGCTTACATCTGACCTAACAGGCTGCTCCTTCTCAGTTCCTCTTTCCCACTCTTTCTCTGCTATTTCATTCCTTTTTAAAATATTTTTAGTTGTAGAGGGACACAATATCTTTAATTAATTAATTTATTTTTATGTGGTGCTGAGGATGAAACTCCATGTTTCCCATGTGCTAATCAAGGGCTCTACCATTGAGCCACAGGCCCTCTGCTATTCCATTACTGAATGTGTGAATGTCCAAGGGCTCAAGCCTATAACCATTTGATATGCAAAAAATTCTACTTATTCATTTACTGTGTCCCCTCTTGTCCACGATTTTATTCTCCATTGTTTCAGTTATCATGGTCAACTGTGACACAGAAATATTAAGTGAAAGTTCCAGAATGAAACAATTRATACATTTTGAATTGCATGCCATAGGGAGTAGTGTGATGAAATCTCCCACTGACCTGCTCTGCCCCATATGGAACATAAGTCTTTCTTTGTTGCACCATCCTTATTGCCCCCTGATCATTACTCATTTAGTAGACAACTCGGCTACCAGATTAGCTGTGAGAGTATCCCCGTGCTTAAGTTCAAGCCCCTTATTTTACTTAATACAGTAATTGCTCTATTTAAGTTTTAGTTATTGCTAATCTACTGTCTAATTCATATATTTTCAATTTACTAATTAAACTTTGTCATTGGTTGCCAATAAAATAAAAAACACAGTACATACAGGGTTCTGTACTGCCTGTGGTTTCAGATAGCCACCTGGGGTTTTGGAATATATCCCTCAGGAATAAGGGACAACTATTGTATTAATATCTCCTCAACAAATTACAACTTCAAAAAGGATAGTTTTTCCACTTGTTAAAAGCATTGAATTGGGCTGGTGGGCACAATACCTCAGTGGTAAAGCAGCTTGGCTACCAGGCAGGAGACCCTGGGTTTGATCCCTAGTACCACAATAACAAAGAAAGAGACAGACAGACAGACAGAGAGACGCAGAGAGGGTCTTACTTTCCTCCCTGATCTTCCCATCCTTCTTCCCCTCAGGCTGAGAAGGAAGAGCAAGCTCTGGTCCTGGCCTGAGGGAGAACATGAGAGTTGAACTGCTCCACATGGACTGACAAACAGTCTTCCTGTTCATAGCCCTGCCATACACTCCTGCCTCAGAGTTGCCTAAGTCTTTTCTCAGTTCTAGGAAAACAGTCACCTTGCTTTGTATTGATGTCCCCTTCTACAGCACTCATGTGTCAGCTAGACCCATCATCCTAAATTGCCCTTCACCCTCTGGATTATAAAATTGTACTACATTTCTCATCATCATCGCTTCTGCTTTTCATGGTCCTTGTTGACTTGTGCCTTTTAAATCTTCTTTGGGTGATATTTTCATGGGATGTGCAAGAAATGTGAGATGGTTCTATCCCATTGAACATTCTAACAATATCATAAATTGTGGCAAATCTTTGCTATAAAGATGACTTAGTTTGGGGGGATAGTCAAAGTCTGTGAGATCCTTCCTCATGTCCTATTTCCCAGTTCTGAAGTCCCCAACATTCACCATAATTAATTATTTTTTCTCAATATGGGAAAAAGAAGACAAAAATTGTGAATTTGAGTAATTAATAAATTATTATCTATTGGAATAGGACAAAATTGCCTGGGATCTAAAGACATCTTTTCTGAAAAGATAAGAAAATAAAACATGCAGAATATTCACAACTTCTGCGGGAAAATTTCTGCCCCATCTTACCTACTTGTTCTTTTATTTTTAAATAGCTTGCTCATAATTTCAATTGAAATATAACAGTATTAATTGAATGATATTATTTCCCTTAACTCCCATCCCAGCTAAAGGAGTGTGGATGTAGCTCAGTCGAAGAGTGCTCCCTGCCATAAAAAATAAAAAGACCCAGGGCATAGGGGTGTAAACACTTCTTCCCTTTGAAGTAGTCACAATATATCAGGCAGGGTATCTTGGCTATCAGTTTGGCTCTTGGTGGCAAGCAAATATTTGCTTATTCTATCCCTAAAACATGTAAGTCCATAATTGTTCAAACACTTGAAAGAAAAATTAGGGTGGGGATTGTGACTCAAAGGTAGAGCGCTCACCAACCATGTGTGAGGCACTGGGTTAAACCAGCACCACATAAAAATAAAAAATAAAGATATTGTGTTTGCCTATAACTAAAAAATAAATACTAAAAAAACCAAAGAGTTTAAATTAAAAAAAAAAAATGGAAAATTAATCTCATCAGCAGAAGGCTTAAACCAAGACAGATAATAATGGATGTTCTGTTTTGTTTTTTCCAGTACTGGGGACTGAACCCAGGGCCTCTCACAGTGCTAGGCAAGTGCCCTACCACTGGGCCACATCCCCAGCCCACAGCTGGGTATTCTCAAGTACTGAGTAAGGAAGAATACAAAGGGGACCAGAGACTATCTCTTTGAACCATTTTCATTCTCTTTGGGTTTCCCAAATCTGTCTCACTCTTTATTATTAAAGACTCAAAGGTAGGCCTCATCTGAACAATGTGATTATTTTTTTATTTTATTTTGAACAGGATTCTCAAACACTCATTCACAGCCAAAGCTAGTAACCATTAAAGGTCAAGCAGAAAGAAACTTTCACTCATGCAAAATAAGGGTAACCACAAGGTGATAACCTTGATGTGGCTCAGAATCTTTTCTTCCTAGGCAGATCCAGAGCACAGTTCTTTCTGAGTTCAGGTARTGTTTGTTCATATTCTAAGAGTGTGCAGAGCCTCCTGACATGATTATCTTTGAAGGCAGCACTTGGTTGGATAGATGTGTTTCTGTAGGTTTCAGTGTTAAAGTCATATTGCTTTATAAGTGACCTCTTATGTTCTAACATGGAACAGGAGGCAAAGCCTTGTGGAAGTGGAGATATAGGAAAGTTGTTCCATGAGCCTTATTTAAGATAGGATATCACTGATTTTTAATAATATAAAGCATGAGATAGTGGTGGTGAGCAGAGGACTACCTTCACTCATCTCCCAGCAACCCAGTAAGGTGGTTCAGAGAAGGATGGAATGTGCTCTGAGGGACCCTATGATTATGAAAGACTTCCAGGAGAACCAGTACCTCCTCCATGTCACCCCAATGGTGGCTACCATATAGTAAATAGTGTTGTGCCAAAGGAACCACCACTACTATACAACCTGGTGAAGGAAGCTAAGTAGACATTACAGTCATGTTGACTACTGAATAATGATGAAGATCACAGGTTTTCTCATGATCAAAAAAAGTGGTCCATCTCACAGAGGAGATGAAACTGGCTGTACGTGGACAAGAGATGATTGTTCTGCAAACCCACAGCCTGAGTACAGGGACATAAGGGATGGATTTAGAAGAAAAAAATTCCAGTGTTCCCATTATGCAACACACCAGTCTCATCAAAGGGATTTTCCAGTTTACAGACAGACACTGGCAGGTGGAAAGGACTCTCCACACAGCAGATCTGGTTCTGGAAGTATTTGAAGATGGCACAGAAGTATTTGAAGACAGTCAGCTAACCAATTGTTCTAAAGCAATAGCATCAAAACCCAAAGAGACCAAACAGGTT